TCTCTCTCCGATCCTACTTCTGCCGTCTGGGAGCTGTCTTGCAAGGGCCTGTCATAATGGAGATGACCAGCAAGGTGTACTGCTCATCGTCCGAGGCCAGCTGCTTCTCGTCATCTGACTTGATGTCAGTCCTCACAGCCCCGACAATTTCTTTTCTTTGCGTGGGGGTCTTAGGGGCTGGTCCGATGCAGACGTCATCGTTGTTTTCCACCTCTAGCCTGCATCAACTCGAAACCAGCCCACATAACTACCCCTCCCTGGGTCCGTCCCGGCGAGCACTTCTACCTGCGTCCAGCCGTTCTGGCGGGCACCTGCAAAAACGCCCAACAACATACGAAACAACGATGGTGTCGGAATGCTGCAGCGATGACCGAACGACCTTGCAGACGATGACGAACCGACGACAGTGACGACCTTGAGCATCGCTTGTCCGATTGCTATCCCCAATGGCGGGGCCTGGGCACCACTGGCCGATCGACCCCCCTAGATCCTAGATGGTGATCTAGGCTGTTCCCTTCGTGTTTCGAAGGGCCTACCACTGACAGGGGTGACTGAGGTACCATGGCCTGGTGCGGATCGGGAGAGGTCAAACTTCAACTCATGGGGTCCTCCCATACCATCTTTCCGGCTCTTGCGAATCGACGCTAACCGACACGACCGGACGCTAATCGACGCTAATCGACTCTACGTCGAAGTTCATACGTAGGCGCTAAGCCAGCGCTTTCTCATCGATTACCTTCACGCTAGCACACGCGAGTGCACTCTCAAAACTGAATTTCGAGGACGTACAAGGCTCACATACGAGACCCGTGGCAGAAAAGGAGGATGAGCAGGAAGAGGAGGGAGGAGGATCAGGATACTGGTGCCCGTTTGGGCCCGACCCTCGCGTGCAGGTGCCTCGGGCCCGCGCTTCTGCCCCCCCACCCCCTGGGGGCGCCCGGCACCCCTGGCCCACTGCAGAACGACCTGGACCCTGCTGCTCCATGACGTCTGCGGGGACGCGCCAACTCAGACGTGCTCGTGTCCTGACGAAAAGTCAGGAAGGAAGGAAGTCGTATTGGCATGGGGGGGGGAAACGTGTCCTGAGGGAAGCAGGGGCCCCATGACACTCTCCCAGGATGAGATCTTCATCCTGAACCGCTTTCTGGGGCCCGTGGGGCGCCCCGAGAACCCGAAATCGGACACAAACCTCAGGGCCCGTGTCCCCCACGGCGCTCTTAAATTTCGGCCTCTCGGGGCCCTCCCCGGACGCCGGGACCGTCAGCGAGCGACTCAGGATGAGGAAGCGGTCCCAAGGAAAGGGTCCGGGCGTCCGGGGACTTTTTGTCAGCGACCGCAGGCGAGAGCGCCAGCGGCGAGTCGAGTCAGAGCGGGCCGCGCAAAGACGAATTAACCTAAACCGGTGGGCCGGAGCCTCACGCGGCACCGCGGCGGCCAGGCCGGCGAGTGGAGGGGTGCTGGCGGCGGCTGCCGGGGAAGCTGCACTGCCAGGGGTTGCACGCATGCAAAGAACTGCAGAGAGGCTGACTGCCAGGGGGGCCGACTGCCAGGGTCTGCAAGCAGCTGAATTGGATGCAAAGGGTGAGCACCTTAAGGACTGCAAAGTACCAGGGTGGCCAGAGCCAGGTGGGACGAAGCCTCCACGAGGCAAATTGTGTGCGTGAATTGGCCGGCCGAAGCTGAGGCGCAGCCAAAATGGCGCGCGGAAGCACCGCGGTGCGACCAGGGTAAAGCACCTCAGAGAAGGCCCAAGATGCCAGCCAAGGTCTGGCGGGTGCACGTGGTGGGGGCGTCCGGGGACCCCGTACTGGCAAAAGTCAGGACATCGCATGTCTGGAAAGCGAACTTCCGGGTTGCGGCGCCTGCCCGCCCAGCTGCAGCGTCGGGGGACGGGCTGCCCAGCGGCCGGCCGCCCCTCCAGGGGGGGCGTCCGCGAGGGTGTGGTGGCGCCGGCGCGCAGGCGAGTACACCTTCCCAACGCCGTGTGCGCCACTGTGGACGGGGAGCGGATGAGGCGGGCCTAGATTGTTGGGCACCACATTTTTTCGGTCGCGACCGGCAGCGATCGATGGACATTCCAAATCGATCGTGGCCGATCGCGACCGCCTTCACACAATCGGTCTCGACCAGACGCGATCGATCGGCTGAACGACAGCTTTTGAAGAAAACCAGCCGCGACCGATACTGGAATCTGAAAGAAGATTGGTAGCGACCGACCTCGTCGGTCGAGACCCAAAAAGTCTGGCATCCAATGATGAGCGTGGCTGAACGTGCCGGCCACCCACGCCCTCCTGGCGCGCGCGGGCACCTCCGAGCTTCGCAGGGAGCTTCGGCAGCTCGTTTCGATGCCCACCCGCCATGGGTCCCCAAGGGCAGTGCCGCCTGCTCTCGCTGGGACCGAGCGGGATCCAGACCACGTGTGCGTCGTGGCGCTCGCGCTGCCCGCCTGCCGCCGATGCCGTGCACGGCGCTCGGTCGTACCGGCACCAGCGCTGGCGTTGTCGGTCTGGACGTCGCCTGGACACCTATGCCCTGCGCTCCTCAGTTAGAGGCCTCCTCGGTGGGATCCGAGTAAATGGTGTCGGAGGATCGCGCCGCATCGCCCATGCATCAACGATGCATCGCCGATGCGGCGCGATCCGCTGACCCCGTTTGCTGGGACACCATCTGGGAGGTCTAGTCAACAGCCGGGTGGGCGTCGAAATTTCTGTGCCCGCTTGCTGTTCACCCCGTGCCAATGTACTTTGAGTGTGCATCTCTGGGGGGATGCCGAGCAACAGGCTCTGCTTGGGGTACGAATCGATACCGATACTAGAGGCCTCGTAGATGGGGTCGGAGTAGATGGGGTCGGAGGATCGCGCTGCATCGGCGATGCATCGTCGACGTGGGCGATGCATCGGCGACGTCGACGTGACGAAAATCGGGCTGCACATCAAGCCGCATCGGCGATGCATCGGCGATACGGCGCGATCCTCCGACCCCACCAACTCCAACCCCATCCAGGAGGCCTAGAGATACTGCTGCTTCCCAATTCTGGCAAGAATCTCGAGGCGGCTCCAGCCGTGGCGACGAGGGCCGCCCAGAAGGCTCAAAGAGGCGAACACGAGGCACGGTAGCAATACCGCTACCTTCCCCGACATTCGATGACCTGAATTGTCCAGGGCCCCCAGAAGTCCCGACCGCTTACCGGGCACTGGTTTCTCATCCTGAGTCTCCTCTTGACGGTCTCGGGGCCCGGCGAGGGCCGCCAGAGGCAGAAAAAGACGAATAATATCACCGTCTGTACTCTTGTCAGGACGTGAGCATGTCTGGGAGGGTAGCGGCATCGCTAGCTTCTCCTCCTCTAGAGGAAAGAAAACAGCATAAACATAAACGTGTGACGCTCCGCGCGGATGTCTTGGATCTGCGCGGGGCTCCCCCCCCCGGCGCGCGGAGCGCGCCAGGAGCGGCGACGGAGGAGCCGCCAGAGAGGCCCAGCGCAGATCCAAGAAATCCGCGCGGAGCGTCGACAGCTTGTAATTACGGCGATTCTCCTTCTTGGATTCTCCTCCTCTGGTCTGCAGGTCGGCCCATGGCGACCGCCCTGCGCCTCCCCGCTCAGGACGGCCCCCCTGGTGCACCCCGGCGGGCAGCCGCGCGCGAGGCCGAGCGAGGGGCGCCGCCAGTGGGGATGGGCCTCTTGCCCCTGCGGGTTCTCGCGCGGCCCCCCTGCGCGAGAGCGGGCGAAAGAGCGCGAGAAAAAGGCATACACATGAACTTTCGGAGCTCAGCGAGGATCTCTTGGATCGACGCTGGAGCCCCCTGGCGGCGCCTCCGGCGCCGCCCCTGGCGCGCATAGCGCGCCAGTGAGGGGATTCCACCACGGATCCAAGAAATCCGCGCGGACTGTTGAAAGTCTATGTTTGTGCGTTTTTGTTCCTCTGGAGAAAGAGAGAGAGAGAGAGAGAGACTCGAGAGAGAGAGAGAGAGAGAAAAAAAAAAAAGAAGGAAAGAGAGAGAGAGGGATCATGCAGATAGAGGTATGAGAGAAGAGGTAGAGATGAGGGAGCGGGTGAAGAGGGCAAGGAGGATGAGGAGGGCAAGGGTCGGCGGCGGGCGAGGAGGGGAAGCGAGAAGCAGAAGGCCCTCTCAGAAGGCAGCGGGACTTCTCAGAAACCCTCGCGCCTTCTGAACGGTTTTCTGTGTCTTCGGGAAGGCTCAGAGGACTTCTCAGGAAGCCAAGAGACTTCCGAACCTTCTGGAAAGGTCCGCCCATTCTCACTTCCCCCCAAAACTTTCCGCCCAAAGGAGGCAGGCAGGCGCCAGAAGAAACGGCAAGACCATCTGCGGACATGCGACATGAACTCTCTTGGCTCACTGTCGGTGAATGCCCTGGCAGTTGGCACCGGTGCAGAACGGCTATCTGGTGGAGCCGAACCACTCGTCTAATCATGCTGTACTGACGGCTATCTTGAGGAGCCGAACCACCTATCTAATCATGCTGTGCTTGCATCTCTGATGCGGGGTTGAGTGTCACAGTTTGAAAATACGCGCCAATAACTGTCCCGCTGGATCGCTGGTTTGGGCGGTCCATCAATGTGGAATGAAGGCCTCCAGCTTAGCACGCGTGCCGACATTCTTGCCCCCCATGCCTGGGTGGCACAATGCCAGAGCTACCTCCAACCAGCAGCCGCCCTAACGCATCTGCTCCCAGCTGAATCCAAGCCCAGAAGGGCCCACGGGCAAATGACGGTGAGATGCTGATGGGGAATCCAACAGGTACCGATACCGCTACTCCCTGGACCTCTCCTGCGGTGCGTTCTCATCAGAAGTTCGAGGCGAATCCAGCGGTGGCGACGAGGGCCTCCCAGGAGACGGAAAAACATTGAAAAACGGGCAAAGGGCAAAGGTAGCTGTATCGGTACCTTTTCCTCCCCTGAGCTGAAGGATGGCGAATCCACATCACAGGAGAGGCAAATCAAGCTGAACGGAGCACCTGGCTGAAGGACACTTGTGGACCTCTACACGCCCCTTGCCGCCGACCAGTGCGGGGTATCTAAATTTGCCATCCCGCGCCGCACCGCTTGTTCTCGACGCGTCCAAGTGGACGACGCCGACACCACAGCAAACCCACGGCAAGCCCTGAACCCCGCGCCCCAGAGAGACGACGCCGGCACCGCGGCAAGACCCACGGGAAACCCTGCGCCCGAAGCGGCGTTTGCCCTGGTGGCCGCGGTGCCCTCCTCAAGGCGAAAGGCCGCGCGTCGGAACACACGGCGCTGCGACATCTGGGCTGGGCCCGGTCATCTTGCGAGCAATGCAGCTCCAGCTGCCATCATACCCACTATCATCGCAATCGTGGGGATCTCTTTCTCGGGATCGAACGAGACCGCAGCCCGCAAGTCCGCCACCGCTCTTACAGCGGTAGGCGTGCGTCAAGCGCTGCAGCGCTCGAACAGCGTTGCCATTCGCGAGACAATATCTAGACCCATCCAATAACACTGCCCCCGATAGAAGGCCGCGTCCATTTTGTCGCGTTGTCATCTTGCGGCGTTCACACACCCGTGTTGGCGGGCATGTTGCGTGACTCCTCTCGGGAGTCATCGGGAACCCAACGGGGCAAATGTGACCCCGTGTTGTCTCCGTGACCCGACAGGGCTATGCGAACCCGTATTGGCCATGACCGCCGTTCTGATAACAACAGCGCCCGCGCGACGCGAACAAAATGGAAGACGGCACACGCTTATAGCACCAATGTCTCAGCGTTTCTTGCGCCTCGCACTACGCCACCCACCAATTCGAAGAGTCATTGGGGCGCAGCTCCTGCGGCGCTGCTGAGCCCCCACATGACTCCCACGGGGACATTTCCGTTGGATCCACGACGGCCCATCGTCGCCCCAAGGCAGGCCCAGAGGGCCCACGGCAGTTCGAATACAAAACGCACCACACGCTCGACAGAACGATGATCCCGAAATGGCTCCTGCGAGGCGCCAAGAGCTCGTTCCGAGATACCCCTGGGAGGACCGATATGGTCATTATTTGCCCACGGGCGCATGCCGCCGCCCAGCCAGGAACCCAGGGGGAGGGAAGCGGTGTCAGTTACATGCCTTGCAAGACCGAAAGGGACCAGGACGCAAGGAAGTGTAGCCAGGTGTACGATTGGCAGCACCCAGGGAAGCTAACAGGAGCAGACAGCCGCAGGAGGAGAGACTACCAGAACAGAGATACATGTAAGCGAGGAGAGAAGCAGGTGACGCAATGTAACGAGAGAAGCCACGTGCAGCAACGGAGTGGAGGCAGGAGCGGTGAACAACAATCGCGCTGTTCAAAACGAAGGCCCAACACAGGAATGGTCGGGAAAACTAGTGCCTGAAGATTTGTGGCTGTCCACTTCTTGGTGGACTCAATCGTACTTCCAGTCAGCCTCTGGAAGCCTTCGGGACTCCCCTGACGACGTTCCAACAGTCCAAGAACACCTCCACCGTGGCGTCTGCCAGATTGCCCTGACCTGGTCCGGAGCGGCCCACGACTGGCCCAAAATCGGCCTGGCACGAACCCATCCAGGTCCACGACCCCCCAAAATTACCCGCCAGTGGCCGACGATACCAACGGCGGCCCTACCCAAGATGGAACAAGAGACACCTTCTATGAACATAGTTAAACTTTCGGAACTCCCACGCTGACTTCTTGGATCGGCGCTGGCCCTCCCCCTCTTGCGCGCAGAGCGCACCAGGGTTGGCGCCAGAGGCGCCGCCAGGGGGGGGCAGCTCCGAAAGTTTGTGTTTATTCCGATTTTCTGATTCGACCGAAGGCCCCCTTCAGCCAGAGGGCAAGGGACAGGCAGAATAATCAGAAGAAGCAGGAGGCATCGCGATGACCAAACCATGCAACGCCACGGCCGTGCCACACTGAGAGTACCACCGCGCAGCTTCACAGAGCGTGGCGTCGGAACATTCGCCGCAACGTATGTGGATACTTGCGAAGAGCCAGCTGGACAAATACGCCCCCGTTCACGAAGTAGATCGCCGCCAAGATCTCGTTCGATATCACTCCACGCGTGACGGTGATCGCGAACGCGATGCCAGCCCCCAGGCAGTCGCAGAGCCCGACCAGGGCCGTAGCAAAGAGACACTGGCATCTGCTCGTCTTTTCCCAGCCCGAGCCCGCGGTGTCTCCGGAGAGCAGTAGTCCCTGGGAAAAGTGTTGCACCGCGAAGAGGATGGCGAAAACGACCCCAGCGTGAAAGTTCACCACCGAGACCAAGCCAACGCTCAGGCCTGCGATCAAGTGCAACACGCCCGCTCCAATTGCAATCAACAATGCCTCAAGCACGGGAATGACCCTGCGGATGACCAAAACCGTGTGCGCCAGTCGGGCCCTATGTGACTGGAAATGTCCCAATACGCTCATCGCCCTCCTGACCGCACGACCCGTGGACGAATACGGAGAGATACTCGGCGAGGCGTCGGTCTGGTCAACGACCTGGTCGCAGCCAAAAAGACGGTCGGCGGCTTGCAAGGCCCAACCCATGAACTTGGGGACCTCGTAGTCCGTGGGATCCTCATGAACAATGCCCTCTAAACTGTTGCCGCTGCCGGCCTGACCATGCAACGCTGCCGCGAGACCAGCCAAGGTCGGCCAATCTCTGTTACTCCCCCTGCAAAGTTGGTGCCATATCAGGTCACTCCTGATGCGGCTCGTGCCTACCAGCTCCAACAACAATGCGTGAAAGTCGTCGCGGTCCAGGGGGACATCCGCCTGGCCTATGGAATGGCCTGTCATTCTGCAGATGGCGTCCAGCTCGGACTCCCCAGTGTCCAGTTTCACTCCGCGGATCCTGCGCGCGAGTTGTCGCAAGTGCCTGTAGTTGCCCTGCTGCGACGCTGATGTCATGACCTCCCCGTCGGCACGGGGGAGCTGAGGGAGGCACAGGGCCCTACTAGAATTTCCAGAGCTCTGGGTGGAGCAGACCCGCTGGGCACTCGAGGACTGCCCTGTCTCGCAGCCAAGCGCCAAGGCCGAGGCGATGAAGTCTTCAGCGAGCTGTTTTCCTTTGGAGTCGTTCGGTGTGCGCGCTGGCTCGAGCTTGCTCGTCAGCGTGTCCTGCAGCCTGCCGAGGCGCGCCAACGGCTCGCCCATCAGCACCTCGGCCGCGGCCATCAGCACCACTGTCGTGGATACCACGACGGTGCCGTACACGTTGTACTGGTGCGCCACCGCGCTGCTCCTGGGAAAACGGAGGACACATACCGATACCGCTGCTCCGTGAACCTCTCCCAGGGTACCGTCTGTCAAAGAGATCGAGGCCAATCCATCCGTGGCGACGGGGGCCCACAAGGAGGCCCAGAACAGCGAAAACGAGCCAAGGATAACGGTGTCGGCACCTTGTCCTACCCTGGGCACCTGGGCAAGAACTCCAAGAACAGCCCCGTGACCATGCAGCCAGAGGTGCCGGCCAGCCAGAAGGCCACAGGCCTGGGGGGGAAATCAAGGGGGGCGGGGACATCGGGTCTTCGGCGGCCGCTCGGGACGATCCAGGCACCCCTGGAACGACCTCGGCGAGGTGCAGCTGCGGGAGCGCACTCCGAGGCTGGAAAACGTTCGGGGAAAACCTCGAACCTCGAACCCGTCGCCGCCCACTGATGAGAGGGAAGGAGTTGATTATTGCACAACGTCGACCCCCAGAGGCAGGCATCGACCCGTGCCCCAGGACCAGCTTTTCCTCCTGAGCCGTTTTCGAAGATTCCCAGGCGCGGCGAGGGACCCCAGAGTCCCAAAAGTTGCAAAAACATCTACATTCTTTCGTGAGGTTTCAAACCTCACATTGTCGGCGAGCCCGTGGGGAAGTGAGAAGGGGCGGGCCTTCTCAGAAGGCTCGGATGTCCTCCGGCCTTCTGAGACATGTTCTATGAACACAAAAGGCTTCTCAGAAGGCGCGAGGGCTTCTGAGAAGTCCCGCCGCCTTCTGAGAAGGGCTTCTCCTGCTCACTTGCCCTCCTCGCTCGCCGCCGATCAAGCCCGTCGAACCGAAAAACGTCTGATGAACGCTGCCCTGAGTCGGCTACACGCGAGAGTGACCCTAGGCAAGAGTGACCTGTGGTGCGCGGCTTAACAGGGGACGCGGGATGGCCAAACCAGGGCGCGCAAGCCGCTGCCACCGCTTCGCGCTCAACGATCGGGGGACCCAATTGGGCCAACACCAACGGTCACTCCAGCGAAAGGTCACTCTTAGGTCTAGTCGACCAAGGGCCTGCTGCGGCAGTCCGGCCGCAGGGCGGCCGCCGCCAGGGATCCCAGCGGCACGAAGGCGCCGGCGCCCAGCGCCAGCAGGATGCCCACGGCGGCGCGCTCGCGGAGCAGCTCCTCTGGGTGGTCGCCCGTGCTGAAGCTCATGTCCGCGGGGATCTCGGTACGGCAAGTTCGTGCCCAGAGTTTGTTCGGTCGGGGTTCGAGGCTTTCGGCGGTTTTCGTCGGTTCCTGGACGTTTCCCTGCCTCGGGATGCTCTACAGCAGCTGCGCCTCGCCGAGATCGTTCTGGGGATGCCCGGTTCGTCCCGATCGGCTGACAGAGACCCCAGGTGTGACCCAAAAACCCAGACGCCTTCGCGTCGTGAACAATCATTTGTGATTTTCGTCCTCTTCGGGTCCTCGCTGGGCCCCGGGGCTGTCAAAAGACGACTGGGGATGAAAAGCTGGCGCCGGGGAATGGGTCGATACTTCTGGGGGGGGCACGTCAGTTAAAAATCATGAAGTCGGGGGTCTGCATTCGTGTCGTGACGACGTCGGCGATGGCTTTTGACACCGCGTGGATCGATGAGCGTTACACAATCGAGGCATTTCGATAGCGCAGGTCGGTCGAGATCGGCCGATTCTGGGCCACTGGCGGCGCTCGATTTTGAACGCCCGCGCTGGGATCGCCGCGGCACGTACCAGCCGTAATTTGTCCGTCCCTCCTACGTGTGGGATATGTTCGTCGCGCCTCTGTAGCCGAAATGGTTATGGATGAAGGCAAAATCGAAGGGAGGCAGGGGGGCGGGAAGGAAGGAGGAGGAGAGAGGAGACATGGGAGGTGGAAGGACCAAGATACAGAGGATGTGGATCAGACTGCTTTCGACTGAAAGCAGTGGTCGTTAAAACTAAGCCAAGAACGTCTATCTCTGGCAGTTGCACAATTTCGAACACTAGCCGTAGCCAATGGAGTTTAAAGTGTAGCTAAATTAATGTTAGCAGCAGCCATGCCAATCAACAAATGGAAATTACGAACCATGAGTCGTTGCAAAAATAAGAGGCTACTGCTCGATTGGAAATTGCATTCTGCTAGTATGTCTACAAATACCTTCGAACATATAGCGACTACGGGTGCTGTTGCTCGTGCGCGTGCCAGCTCCAGTGCTGGGACCGGGTGCGCGAGTGCGGTGAAACATGGCGGTAGCAGTGAAAGTAGCAAGTGAACTGCGAATGATACTTGCCAGGGTCGTGCTATTCATAGCTCCGCCCCCGTTTGGCCGTTTTTGAGTGAGCACGGGCAGTGACAATGACGACTGCGACGTGGACGATGGGAGCGACACGGCCGACAGGACAACGGGGGCGGCAGAGGACGACAGGAGAGCGATGAATTCAGGAGAGGGGCGACAAAGGCGAGGGGGTGGGGCATGGGGACGAGTGGGACGATGAGTCACGATGGCGAAGATGGGGGTGATGGGATGAGGGGGACGAGGGGTGAATGCGGACAATGTTTTTTCGTTGTGATGACACCCGGCTGGTCTGTGCAGATCCCAAGGCGAGACTACCACTATTTGGCGACCCCGTCATTGGCCGTGGGCACTTCGGAACATCAGCCGAAGGCCGGGAGCCTCATCAAAGTCATCTGTCACAAAGGAAGGTGGCCATCTGTCACGAGGGCCACATCAGAAGGCGAATCCATACATCAAGAAGAGTTCATATATGATGCAGACATAAGTCTGCTACGGTGTTTGTCGCAGGGGTCTCGCATGCACAGCGGGGCCACTCCACAGTCTATTGAGCAGCGCGCTTGTGGCTTCTTGCAAGGATCGACCTGTAACATGTATAAATGCCAGGTGCATGGTGCGCACGACCTGAGGCCAATACGTGTAAAGGTTCATGCCACGGCTCACCAAACCTGTTACCGAACTTCTTCCGCGCATGGTCGGAAAATGCCAGTAGCGTTTGCCAGGCTCTCGAAACGGTGCCCTGCCCCCTTGCGCACTCAGAACAGCAGCCTGCAGACGGTAGCCAGCAGTAGCGCTTGCGGGAATGCTGCGGAAGCGCCAGAATTTACCGGCGCTGGGCTCTGATCCATGGTCGTCGGGGCCGTTTCCGACTTCGGCACCGCCGCCACTGCCGAGAAGGTAGAAGCCGAACCAGGGCCCTGAACCTGCGTGTTGAAATCTGCCACGAAGTTGTCGGCAGTGGTGCTCTCCAGGGTGTCCACAATTCTGTCGAAGGCGCTCTGGCTGATGGCGCCTCCCCCCTCCGAGGAGCCCACCTGTGCGGTGATGGTGTAGGAGACCAAAATCTCGGCGGCCTCGGCCGTCATCCTCCGGCCGCCTCTGGCCGCCAGCCTCCGGCCGCGGTGCACCTAGGGGGCCACATGCGAATCCTACCCCTACCCCCCACCCTCCCCCTCAGAAATCGTGGGGGGGCAGAGGTAGGGCTCGCATGTGGCCCCCATAACACCGAGAGCGTCACCGCCACCGTCGACTCTGGCATGCCCCCCCCCGTGGCGATCGAGGTCACGAACGAGCCCACGACGTCGGAGTTGCTTATGAAGTCCTCGGCCTCGGAGGCTGCAGCGGAGGCCCAGAAGCTCCCCGAGACGACCAGCGTGGCCAGCGTCGCTGCCGGTGGGGCCGGCGTGGGAGACACAGCGGGCCCAACGGTCATGTTTGCCGAAGCGCTAACGGACAATATGTACCGCCACACGCTTCCATCCAGTTCCATCGCATACGGCTTGATAGAACAACTGGACTTCCAACGCTGTCATCCGTGTGCCAGGTGAGATTGGTGGTCTCGATGAAGTCGCTGGATGTAGCTGATCTCCCACACGTCGCTGGAGTCGGACATCGGTATGATGGCGTTGATGTACTCGTACATGAACCCAGCGTCCATCAGACCCCCGATTTGCTCATTGGCCCCCGATTTCCTCATTGCCGCCGTTTTGGATCAAGCTTCCAGTCACATACCATGTGTCTGCGCCGTCGTAGCCAAGACTGAGTGAGATAGATACGTTCTCCATGTCCATCAGGTCCCAATCGTCGTCCCCCCCGTTCGCCTCGCCCCACCAGCCGTCCTCGTACGTAGTAGTCTGCCCCTCACGCGTCCGGAGGGCGGCCACCACCTGCTGGGTCGTCGCCACTTCCATCTCGTAGTCGTCCTCGTCGTCCATCATGCTCTCCATCGTCAGCGTCAAGGCCATCTCGGTCATCGTGTCAAGGCGCCCGTCCGGCTGCGTCAGGGCCAGCGTAACGGCCATGACATCCCCGAGGTTCCCGTGGGTGGTGACGCTGTCAGAACTGCTCGTTCCCACCATAGACCAATTCATCAACAGTTTGCCTTCGCTTTCCTCCATCGCCATCCCGAATGTGAAAAAGGCCCCCAGAACTGCTGCCCGTCACCGACATGGTCATCATCACTCCCGCGTCGGTGTCGCTCGGGTCCCAGATCTGCGCCTCAACGGAGGCGTCCCAGTCGGTGAGCAGGCGCGCCCCGCTGGCCGCCGTGAAATCCACGCCCGCGCCGGGCTGGAAGAAGGGCGTCGACAGATCGGAGGTGGGAGCCTGGAACTGGAAGGTCGCCCGGTCCCCAGCCGCGTCGACCGTCTCGAGCTGGACGCCGCCGGTGACCTCGGGAGTCTGCCCGCTCTCCATCCGCGCCGCGGCGCCCCCGAGGAGCATCTCCGAGCCGGCTGAGGCGTCCTCGGTCGGCGAGGCGTCGATGGTAAGAAGCTGGCCATCCGGACCCCAGACGTCCATGTCCAAGGTGGTCGCGGTGCCCGACGTCTCCGACACGACATCCCACTTGACCAGCCTTTCGCCATCGAGCTTAATCTCCCCAGCGGTCGAGTTCCTCGCGAGGAGCTCTGTGAAGGAGACGTCCACCTCGAGGAAGGTGCTGCATCCTCTGTCGACAGCCAGGTCCACGGATTGAGAGGAAGTTGATACGACGGCGCTCAGATCTTTTTTTTTCTCCATCGGGCACTGCTCGGCTGCCGAGCAGGTCAGATCGAGCAAGTTGCTCACAACTTGCGGCCAGCATCTGCGGGATGGCGCCCTTCCAAGATCCTTGTGATCCTGCGCAAACATGCGCGGCCAGCGGCCTCTAGACGACCTGTTGCGTCCCTGCTGCCGAATCGCCCCGCGCACTGGGCTCCCAGGAGTTTGCATCGCCCCTGCCCATCTCTGGAGAAGCCCCCGCACTTCCCGCACAAACGATATCCGAAGGCAATCCTGATGGCGCGCCCTCGGTCGTCAACGGCAACTTCGCCGACCCCGAGCACGTCGAAAAGCTCGAGGTCGCCCCCGGCAGCTGCCGCCGCAGCTGCCAGGGCCAGCGCCGCAGCGGCAGACGAGGCGCGGCCTTCTGGTGGGGCCGCGCTGCCACGCACCGAAGCCCCCGGCCGCGCGTTGCAAGGGGAACCCCAGAACGCAGCCGCGCTGTCGAGGGAGCTGGAGCGGCAGCATCGCAAACAATGCACTCGCCCGGCACGCTGCGCGACGTCGTGCTGCGTCACGGACAAGATTACCTTGGGCGGCACCTCCAGCCTGACGCCCTCCTCCACGTCGCGCCGGCTGCGGGCCGCTGCGCAGCCAGCACCGGCGACCCAGAAGACCACGCCGTCGAGGGTAAGGCGATGCCGCTCCCAGCGGGCCCGCAAGGCCGGGGGAGCGCGCAGCTCCGCCACGTGCGCCTTGGCGCAGCGGTCCGCTTCCAAGTTGCCGCGCCGCCCGCGCCGAGACACCCGCCCGCTCTCGACGTCCCGCGCCGTCGCGTGCGCGATGATCTCGAAGACTGTCAGCCCTTCGGGGCCCAAGCCACCGAAATCAGCGATGGCGGGCCAGACCCTCCTCCATATATGCGCCAAACTGCTGGCCGCGGTGCAGGTCGCCGCCGGCCCGCGCTCGTCGAGCCCATTGACGACCTATAGGCCGAGTCGCACTAAACCACCAATGGCGGCATCGAGTGCCGCAACGCCAGCAGGATAGCCAGCAGCTCGCCCCCGTCCACCTCCTGGATCAGGCCCTGCAGGCCCCAGATCGGCCCACTCCGGCCCTGGCGGCAAAGCGATGACCGCGCAACCTGCCACGGTCAGGTCGACTGCCTCCGCGTCGAAGGCGGGGCCGTCCACGAACACCTCGCCGCCGGCGCTCAGATCCCATCCAATGATCTTCTCGTTGTTTTCGTCCTTGATGGTGCCAATGGATGACATGGCGAACTGGTCGATTGCGATGGCCGAGTTGCCGTCGCCTAGCTGAAGGCCTGCTGTTATCATATTCACGCTCTGCACAATGACTGACGCCCCTGCATAATAGAGTGTGTCGCATGCAGTCATGCCGAGAACCGCGCGGTAGTCTTTCTGATCATCTGGTGTCATCGACAAAAAACCAAATCCATGTGCTGGCTGTGCAGCCCCACATCCACGGAGCACGAACTCTGCAGGCATGGAATCTCCGCTGCGTCTGTGAGCATGTCGAGTAGTCCCCTGGCCAATGAAACGGACATGGTAACGTTGAGGCTGGAGTCCATGGGGCTGAACATATTGATGTCCACATCTTGCACTTGCCCACTGGTAGGTTCATTGGTGAGCGACACGCCAGCTGTACCCATCTCTGTGTCACTGCTGTCGTGGGCGGTGGCGTGTACCGTGTAATTCGTACTCTTCGTCACAAGGATCAAAAGGTCCAGTTTGAGAACCTGCTGATAGCTGCCATCTGAGGACGCTTCAACCAACGCGACGGCAGTCAAGCCAGTGTCGTCGTGGGTGCCATCGACGTCGACCCGCCCTGCGGTGCTACCAACAATCGAGAGAGAGGCGTCCATGGTAAAACCGCCCTGTGTGCGATAGGAATCCGTCAAGGTTCCGCTCAACACGATCTGCTCACCTCCAACGCTTACCGTGACCTCCAAGGTGCCGTCCTCCGTGTCAGCACCAGCGTAGGTTGCCCCGGCAGACGCGTCGAGCAAGGTGCTGGAGGAATCACTGGGGTCCTTCACGACCGCCGAGAAGCTCATGGACGCACTGCTGTTTGTACCCGTGATGGTAATGAACTCTGTGCCATCCTCGGGGTTATAGACGCGAGCCGAGAGGGATTCGCCAGCGCTTGCGCTCGAGGAGGCAGACACGCTGGCGATGGTATCGCCACTGTCTGGGGCCTTGATCAGCACGGAGATCGTCGTCTCGTCGGTCGAGTCGGTTAAAGAACACTCGACCTTGGAAACCTCCACGTCTGATATCCCGACGGCTAAATCCAGGGAGGCCCCCCCTGCCTCGGCAGAGTCCGCAGCAGACAGGTGCACTTCAAACTGGGTCGCCTCGTCCATCCCGCACTGCAAGTCGAAACCGATAGCGTTGTCAGTCATGGTGGCATTGAGTTCAATGTCGATCTCGGACCCATCTGCGTATATCAGCTCCGAGAACGTCACGGCGGTGCTCTCGCCAGTCAGGCGACGGCCGTCCCGCGGCGGCTGCTGCACCAGCCGCTCGCCGGCGGAGCCCCGCAGCGACCTTGCCAGCCGGCGGCCCAGCAGCCGCCTCGCGCCGCGCGACAGGTCGTGCACGGCCGACGCCCTGCGGCTGCACCAGCCCACCGCGTGGGAGGCGCCCAAGCACTGCGCCGCCTTCGACGACGGCGCCACCGCGGCCATCCGCACCGAGCGGTGGACGCCGCCACGCTCCCCGCACGAGTCGCCGACGAGCAGCTTCCCGAGGGCGGCCGCGAAGGCGGCGGGGCGCACGTGGCCGGTGACGAGGGCTGGCGCGGAGACCACGTAGCCGCCCTCGCTGTCGCTCTCGATGACCAGGCTGGCGTTGACCGCCTGTGTCAGCCGCACGGAGCGGTCCCCGCTCTCTTCGTAGGCGACGGCGGCGTCGAGGCTGATGCTCGCCCTCCCGAGCAGGCCATCCAGGGTCTCGGGGAAACTCCCCGCGGGCACCCGCAAGCCCACCAGCGCGGGCCGCTCCAGCGTCACGTTGGGGCTCTGCAGCGACCAAGGGCCCTTCCGTGTCACGCTTCCGCTGCGCTGCATCCACATCTTGGGCGCCTTCGCATCCGCGAGGTCCACGGGCAGCCACGCCGTCCACGGCACGCGCAGGCCGAGGCCGAAGAGGTCCACGCTGGACGTGACCTCGCACCCGCCAGGCGCGGACGCCGCAGCGCCCGCAGGCTACACCCGCGTGCGGGCGTGGAGCTTGACGCGCGACAGGCCCTGATGCTGCGCGTCCGGGGCCTCGACGGCGACGTCCAGGTCGCGCATCCGCAGCTGGCACGTGGCGCTCCGGAGCCAGGCGCGGTGCGGAGACCAGTCAGGCCGCACCAAGCCTGCGTCGAGCATCACGTCGGCGGAGTCCGCGCCCTCCGGCGCGGAGGAGACGTGCACGCCGTCCACTCGGAGGCCGAGGCCGCACGCGTGGTGCAGACTCGCGGCCTGCGCGGCGAACCCGAAGAGCAGCGCGGTGGCCGCGGCGAGCACGGAGCGGACGAGGCGGCGGCCTGCCACAGGCCGCGCCACTTCCGCGGCAGCCGTGGGCGCGACGCCCTCCTCCACCATCGTGGGTCCGAGGTCCTGGGCGGCCGCTTCGGACACCGGGCTCGCTCCTGCCATCGCCGGGGCGGGCGCGGCGCGGCGAGGCGGAGACTTCTGGGCTCGCGCAGCTCCCAAAGGGGGCCAGACGGTGGCCAAAGGAAAATTTGAGCCAAAATTGCTACGGAGGAAGAATGGGGACAATTTTGGATGCTGCGGGCGATAGGGATGAGTGGTACGATTGGGACGATGAGGACGTGTACAGGTGGGGGCGATGGCGATGGGTGACGATGACGAAGATGGGGGCGAACGACACGATGGAGACGAGAGACTATAGAGACGATGGGGATGCGGGGACGCGGGATGACGATGGTCAGGATGGGAATTAAGGTGAGAAAATGGAGACGATGGGGACAGTGGGGCCGATATGGGGCGATAGGAAGCTGGCGAACCGACGAGAACGGTGGTGTGGTGGCCAGACTCGCGCGCGCGTCCGCTTTTCATCCAGCCAGCTGGCGGAGGGTGGCAACCCCCAACGGGGAAGTCGCAAGCGAATGTTTGAATGGAAATCTGTGCTTACTCGGTGTTCTGGTTTTCTGCTTGTGGCCCCACTCGCTCTGCGCCTGGTCTGCGCTGATCTGGCCCCATGTGCACAGAGCACTGCAGATGCTGAATGCGTCCGCGGTGGACCCCGCACACACCAAGCACTCGACCACGAATCCCTACCCCCAGCACTGGCCGCCCTTGACGTGGACGAGCAACTGCTGGCGCTGACGGGCATTCTTGCGCAGCACAAGCATACAGACATACAGAACCACGGTGGAGGGTGCCGCGCACTATCCTCATGTCTACTGGGGAATGCTTCCAAGTGTCCTAGGGCTTCTCTGAGTTTAGTATGGTCGCGACTGGGAAGGGCTCAACTTATACACCAAGTCGCCTGGTCGGCCAAGGAGCTCGGTGCATCGCCTCCCCGATGTCCCGACCTGCGGGATGCTGGAGCGTCTAAGTTTCAGAACTTCGTCGCCGGACCTATTGGCTCCGTGGCCGACCAAACGACATGGTGTACACATCGAGCCCCTCCGAGCGAACCCCACCACCGCCGGTAGACAACAGAGAGGCCCTCGATCGCGAGTCGCCTGGATCGTGCCTCCCTAGACCCCCGACGTCGCGATTTTTGGCGCAACGCGGACTGCAGGGGGGCTCGACCCACTCCATGCGGCCGGCCTTGCGTCGCAAGTTTTGACGGTCCCCAGGCGCAGGCCCACGGCCATAGAAGTCCAACCACCCAGATCACCGACCCACGGTGCTGCCTGCCCCTGATGAGCGAGCAGCTGACCTTGAGATCTATAACCTGGAGGTCAGGACTCGCGCCCCGCTTCGTGGAGACGCCACAGAAGCTCGAGTGCTGTTCGTGATAAGAGCCTGGAAGGGTCCCCGGTTCAGGCAGGGACCCAGTCTGCCATGTTGCCCCGATTGCCCTGGTGGGATTCGAAACTCGAGATAGGTTGGTCGTGGGGGGGTCCGCAGCCGAGTCGATGACTCAGGAACGATTCGCCTAAGACGCCTGCGCCAGCCTCCCGGGGTGGATTTTAGGGCCCTGACCTTCGACGATATGGTCTGTTCAATGCGGGCGGATTTCCTCGAATTCGGCCTCTAGGGCCCAGGAACATCTAAATCGGATCCGCCTCTGGGGGGGAGGTCGGAACCTCTGGGGCCGTCGATTGGAAGCATCATACAGTCATCGTGCTGCCACTAGGAACGCCAAAGAAGGAACGGAGGGGCTTTTCTAGCCACGGCGAGCTCCGGCCACATATAGGCTCCCCGACCCAGATCTAATGAACGGCCCGAACACCCAAGCTACTTCTGAACCCGAAGTGGTCCTCGCATCAACGTCTCGACTGTATCGGACGATTTCTGGGTTCGCATCCAGGGGCGGTTTTCGATGGTCCCAGCCTGAGACGGGCCCCCAGAAGCCAAAAAACGACGAGCAGCCGATTCGATCCTCAAGGCTCGAATCTCGACTCTCGTCTCTATCTCCTTCTCCTCCTCCTCCTCCTTCTCCGCCTCCTCCTCCTCCTTCTCCTCCTCCTCCTTCTTCTCCTCCTCCTCGACTACCCAGGCATACGACGATGATGATTCTTCAATGCGCGGCCCGGGGGCCCAAGAAGGCGCCATGGAGGCCGAGATCGAAGAAACAAACCCCGGATGGCACACATCACACCGTCGGAGATCTAGAGACGACGACGCCGACGACGACGACGACGACGGCGACGACGACGCCGACGACGACGCCGTCGATCCTCGCCCTGCGTCGCAGCCAGGCGCACGGTGCGAGCCTCGTCACCGCGGGCAGCCCCCTGGGGCCCACGCGGCTGGAGCGCCCGGGCCTCTCTGGGGGGAGCCGCCGCCGTGCTGGGGGGCCTCTTCGTCGTCGTCGTCGTCGTCGTCGTCGTCGTCGTCGTCGTCGTCGTCGTCGTCGTCCACGTCGTCATCCGCGCGGCTGTAGTTCGCGCCTGGGCCTCTCCGCGGGGAGCCGCCGCTGCACCGCGGAGGCCTCCCCACCCCTCCCTCCCAGGAGGGAAGGACCCTCTCGGGCTCTTTCTGGCGTTTCCGTGCTCTCGCGGCGGCTCTTTCCCACCTCGGGGTACCTTGTGGCAGCTGGGCCTCGCGGAGAGCGTTCCTGCCGTGCCCAGATCGTCCCGAACGGCCGTCGGAGAGCCGCGTGATTGCACCCGAAAGCCAAGGGCTCCCTCCCTGACCAGGCCCCCTCAGGTCGTGAAAGAGTAGCGGCGGCCAGATCCTTGCTTTTCAACCTCTGGGAGCCCTCGCAGGGCCCCGGGGCCGTCAAAAAACGGCCAATGACGAAAAACAGCTGGCCCCAGGGAATGGGCTTGGGGAGCGATTAACAACACAATTTCCGAATCGTCGGCTCCCGCTTCGCTTCGGCTCCGTCTGGCCCGTCGACTGTCCATGCGCGTGCCCAAGGAGGGCGGGAAATAACGATTCAACAAATACGTTCCCCGCCCGGGGCCAATTGTTCTAATCATCATCCCAGGTCCCAGGCGCCGCCGCGTGAGCACGACCTGAGACCTTCGGGATCCACGTTATGAACAAAGCATGTCGTGTCGTCGGGGGTCTGGGGAGGGGATCGAGGATCGAAGAGAAGGGATCGAGAATCAAAAGGTTCACAAGTTTGGGGATATTCTTGGGCCTCCCTGAGCGCCCTCCTGGCCACGGTTGGATCAACCTCGAAACACGGACCAGAATGCACCTCTCCTCATCTCTCCCTCCCTCTCTCTCCCCGGAGGGAGGGTGGAGGGAGGGAGAAGGACGGACCCTCAGGAGGATGTTCGATACAAGTTCTTTGGATATGAGGTCTCTGGGGACTCCTTTCGGGCCCCGAGACCGTCCCCTTCGGAATCTCTCAGGAATCCAATTGTTGCGACGAGAGTTCTCGGGGACGAGCACGGGCATCGGTACCTCCTCCTCAGAGATCCCAGACGCACGATGTAATGACTTCTGCCCAACGTCAACTCCAAAAGGTCTCGACCCCTTCCCCGGGACTGGTTTTGCATCTTGGGTCGTCTTCTGACAGTCCTGGGGCGCGGCGAGGTCCCCCAGAGGCTGAAAACAGCCAAGCGCCGCCCGTCGTGGTGACAACGCACAACACGTCCAAGGTGACGACGCCGTCGTCGACGTCGTCGCCGTCGGCGGGCCCGAGGCGCTTCTGGGCATGAGGCGCGCCAAGCCTTGCGAGGACCGGCCCGCAGAGCTCTGCAAGCGCCGAGGGGACGTGGCCGTGGCAGAGCGCCACGTACTCGCGCGCCTGCTGGGGCCGGGGGCGGCCGCACGCAACCCGCGCGGCCCTCCGAGGCCCTCCGCGGCCTTCGGCGGCCCTCGGGGCCCTCGGAGGCTTCGTTGTCCACGTCGTCGTCGTCGTCGTCGTCGTCGTCGTCCTCGTCGTCTTCGCCTTCGTGGTCGTCCCCGTCGTCGTCGTCGTCGTCGTCGTCGTCGTCGTCGTCGTCGTCGTCGTCGTCGTAGGATCCTGGTTGTCGTCGTCGTCGTGGTCGCCGTCGCCGCCGCCGTCGTCCTCGACGTCGTCATTGTCGTCGTCGTCGTCGTCGTCATCCTCCTCCTGAGCGCCACGTACTCGCGCGCCGTCGTCGGCGGGTGGCCACGCGCGGCCCGCGTGCAACCCGCCACGGCAAGCTCCAAGACCTCCCCCGAGATTCTGGCGTCGCCTGTTTCTCGCACTCGGCGATTTATCTCTGAGATCCTAAAGTTCGAAGTTCGTGGTTTTCATACGCTTCCGTCGATTCGCGGAGGTTTTCCGGCCGCGGGGCGCCTTCCTGCGACTGCGCCTCGCCGAGGGCGTTCCGGGGAATCGTGGATCGTCTCGAACGGCCGCGAGAGGCCTGAGTTATGGCCCGAATTCCAGTGGGCAACGTACCCTGAGATCCTGGCGTCGCATTTTTTTTCACCCGGCGACTTAGCTTTCTTTCGGGCCCCTGAACCTTAGATGTCGCAATTGTTTTGTGACGAACCTGCCGTAAGCTGAGGCACCCTGGGTTCGAGGTTAGGTCGTATCTAGGTGTGTTGTTCCATACTTGTTGGGCCTCTGGGAGGCTTCTCGTCGCCGCGGCTGGATCCGCCTCCAACATCAAGTCAAAAGAATACACGGAGAGGTCCGGGGACAGTTTTTCATGAGGACTCTGGTTCCCAGCGGTCTGCAAAAATCCAGGCGGCACGTCTGTTTGCAACTTTCGGTCTCCATGGGGGCGTTTCGGGGCCCCCGGGACTGTCAAGAACGACTCGGGAAGAAAAGCTGGTCCTCAGACAAGGCGCCCAGACCTCCGGGGGTCCACGTTGTGACAAAATCGCGGCGTCGGGGGCTAGGATCCTGAGGGAAACGAGGATGGCCGTCTGTTTTTGGGCCTCCCGAGGCCCAGCGTGGAGTTGACTAGGGCCCTCCCCCAAAAGATGGTCTCCGAGACTACTGGCATGCTTCCACTAGACCCGCCTGAGAGGCCCCCAAGAGGCCCCCGAGCGACCTCCAATCGGCTCCCAAGAAGCCCCAAAGAGGCGTCCGAACGGCCTCTGGTCAACGACGCAGGTATAGTGGCGGGATGGGCCGATTGCCACTGGATGAGAACGGCCTGCTCTTCTGAGGCCGGGCCTCCTGACGCAGACCATGCTGCCCACAGAAATCAACAGACGGCACGAAATCCATAGGAAAGATGTGGGCGAGAGCTGAAAAGAAAACTGGACTGGAAGGTCAGGATTGAAGTGCAGGGGGAGCACCTGCGGTAGGCAAGGCGGGGCAGCCTTCCCCAGGAGGCGGATGCTCCGTATGCGTCACGAGCGTGCCAGCTTCGACTCTTTGCCTGGACGTGCCGTTACTCCACCTCATCGGCGTTCGTCTACTGCCGCTACCGAGTGCCGTGGCAGTCTCGAGGAGGCGAGACGATATCGACACTGAGACATCAGATCGTCTATTCTCCACAGCAAGCACAACTGTGTAAATAAGCTTGATGCTGCTATGCGCGAACACCCCTGGTGGGCAATAGCCTGACTGGGCGCCTCCCACGGGCGAATTCCATGCCACCTTGTGCTGGCGCTGCACGGGCACCGGAGACCATCTCATGAATCCACGAATCGCCAATGGACTGGACTTCGGCTCGGTCGGGAAATTCTTCAGAGGCTGCAATCCATCCAGAAGCTTCGCGCACAACAGCAACCATACCTACTAGGACTTTGAGGCCTGAGCACATCACTGCGTGCCTGGCTCACGAGATGTGGAGGCACAAAACAATCGAACCACAAACTGCCGACATCATGTTGTGCTTTCGCAACGTCGCCCTCTGGAGGTCTCGATCCATTCCCAAGAACCAGCTTTTCACCCTGGGTCGTTTTTTGTTATGACGGCCCCGGGGCCTGGCGAGGGCCCCCAGGGGCCGAAGATACAGAAAGCCTCTGGTCGTGAGTTTCTTTCGCGACGCGATGTGTTCTTGGTGCACGGGGGCGAACGGGCTGGAGCATCATGGAGAAGTGGTCGCTGGTCGATGAAGGTACCAAACCACCTCAACCCGACCCGAAGTCGCCACTGCGTCTGCCAAATTCAAATTTTGGACACTCCGGAACATCGGGAAAGCACAATGGAACCCGTACGCCGCCCAACCCGAAATTCTGGGGGGTTGCTCCCCTCGACCTGCACCTTCTGAGCCTTCCTCGCGACAGGCGCCGCCGCGGCGCGGCCGCGGCGACGGCCGCCGCGGCGACGGACGCCGCTGCGCGGCGCCTGCCGCGCGGAAGGTGCGGACCCCGAACTTCTGGGGGACGATGCTCAATGGCGCCCTGGCGAACACCGCCCCTGCAGCTTGGCACGCGGACGGAAGGGCGCGCAGAGACGCAGACAAAGAGGCGGCGGGCAGCGGGGGGGCCGCGCCACGAGGTGCGCGTCCTGCCGCAGCTGGAGCCGCAAGTGCGCCTCGTAGGTCAGGGCCTGAGGCGTCCGCCCGGGCGACGCTGCGCGTGGGGCTCGGGGGACCCAGACCCCCTCGAGTCTTCAACAAAACACGACGGATGTGTTTGTTGTTGTTGTTGGTGGTGGTGTTGTTCGTCTTGTTGCTGTTGGTGGTGGTGTTGTTGCTGGTGTTGTAGTTAGTCTTGTTGTTGGTGGTGTTGTTGTCGTTGCTGTTGTTGTTGTTGTTGGTGTTGTTCGTGTTGTTGAATTCTCATGCCTCACGAATAATTTGTTGTTGTTCCTCCCGCCTGGTGACCATTGAATACTTCCATTAAAGTGCTTCTCCTGGGGGTCGCACCCTGTTTTTTTCTTGCAAGGGAAAATGAAGTGTCACCGAACTGTGTTTCTGGCCCCCATTTTACAACAACATCGGTTCCCGCCTGATACTTCCTCAAAAGTGATTCCCAAATCGCGCTCTCGCAGGGGAAACTCCTCACAATTCATACAGGAGTCGCGCTCTCGCGTGGCATTTTCCTGTAGCTTATTCAGACGCCGCGCCCACGACACTCAATAATCACGCTCTCGCTCTGGATTTCCTCACGAAGTATTTGGGAACCGCGCTATCGATCGAGACTCTCTCGCTATTCATGCGGGACGCACGCTTTAACAGCCCGCCTTCCCCTTGTCCCTTCCTTCCATCCGTCCTCTCTTCCCCTGCCTTAGGGGCTACACGAAATACACATTGTGAGTAAGAAAGGTCGACCCCTAAGGAGGCACGATAGAAGACGAAGAAGGCGGGTATCGAGTGTTTGGGGTTTACGTCTTGGATGGTACGCGAGAAGATCAGGGCGAACAGTCTTACAATGCTTGCTGTTGTGGTTGAGGATGCTATTGTTGCTGTTGTTGCTGATATTGTTGCTGTTGTTGTGGCTGTTGTTATGAATCGTATGGTGATTATTGGTGTTATCAGTGTTGTTGTTGCTGTTGTTGCTGATAATGTTGTTGTTGTCGTTGGTGTTGCTGCTGTTTCGCTGGTGATGTTGTTGTTGTTGGTGGTGTGATTGTGATTGTTGCGCTGCATTGCGGAAGTAACACCATCCGGTGAAAACTAAGCATGTGGTGCAAGCTACGTCGTGTAAGCTATGTGGTGTGAACTGGATTGTGTAAGCTCTGCGGTGTGAGCTATGTGGTGTGAGCTATGTTGCAGTGTACGCTCTGTGGTGTGATCTATGTTGCATCAGCGGTACGGTGTAAGCTGTGCGGTGTGAGCTATTTTGCGCAAGCTAAATTGCCCACCCACGAGGGAGGGCTGGTCGCGGGGCCTGGGTCCGCAACGAAAACTACCCGCGCGACGGAAAGCCGTTCGTCAGGCAGAATCTCGACGTCGGAGGCATGGGCTTCCCGCGCGACAAGCGTTTCCTCGCGACCTCGGTTCCGGGGGGGGGGGGGGGGCCGGTCGGGGGCTCGGGGGCCCGCAACAAAACTACACGCGCGACGGAAAACCATTCGTCGGGAAAGGTCACGGCGTCAGAGAGGTGTGGGCATCCCGTACCGATGCTGTGCACATGGCACGCGCGCGCGCCAGGGCAGACGGTCACAAGACCAGCTGGGGCTCAGAGTTATTCGAAACGCGATGGCAACCTCAAACGTCGGGGACGTCAGAAGCATCAAACTGTGGGTCCCCCCTGGAGCCATCTGAGGCCTGAGTGTACACCGATGGAAATGCGCACGTCAGATTCGACGGGTGCCTTATCACGGACGTGAGCAAGCGCCAATTTCAAGGTCTCGCTCTGAAGGTCGTTATGTCGTCAATCAATGAAAGCAAGGGAGCAGTGCATGCATCAGCGTTGAACGAATTTACTGTGTGGTGTGTTTCGCACGCCGCCACGACCACGGTTGTCGCTCTTCGAGACGCCAGTGCGAGTACATCAACGTGGACCCACAAAACGCTCGACGTGACCCACTGCTGGTGAGTTGGCACTTCTCTTTGCCGAATTGGAGGCGCGAAATGGGCACTGGCATGACGCAAGAGAGACCCTTCTTTGCGTCGCCTGGGGTCCGCGAAGATATGAGGCCAGCGATGCCGCGCTGTGCCTTGCGAGCTGATCGCGTGCCGCCCACTTCACAAGGCGACACGCGGGGAAAGACGCTGACGCTCAGGAAGCGCGACGCGGTTAACGAGTGGCGCCGAAAAATGGTGCGCCAGAACCGCCGACCGGAGACGGTATTTCAGAATTCCCGGCCAGTAGTCCCTGGCGCGATATGAGGTCGGTGGCGCTGAGCCCGGGGCGCACATCACCAGCCCAGAGGACATCCCGTCCAGGCGCCCCAAGAAGCCGAACCCCGCGCGCGGGTCGGACAGGATGCCGCGCCTGGGGAACTCGTGGCCTCGGCGCTGTGGGGACTCCTCGTCTTTCTCCTTCTCGCCCTCCCTGTCTTGGGTCACGGTGTTTTGTACTACACCCCCACAAACAAGCTGGTCCGGCACCAGACCGTGGAGCGGGGGTGTTGTGTGCGAAAACAGGATCCCCCTGGGGACACGGTTTTTTTACACCATCCCCATAAGCACAAGGTCTGGCACGAGGAGCGCGCGCGGGGGCGGTGGCCAGCAATCGGCCCCTGGTTCTCCGCTTTCTCCTCCTCTCCCTCCTCCTCCTGTACCTCCCTCCGTCGTTGTTCCTGCTACTGAGTTACGAGGCAGCTCACGGAAACTTTTGGCCGTCCCCATGGCTCCCAACAGCGCGCCCGTACCGCGCGCGAAGCGGACAACATTATGTATCTCCCTCGCACGGCGCTATGGGGCGCTATTGCGCGTTCTTGGAGCGCTATCTGGCACTAGTGAGCGCCATTGGGCGCCCACTGGCGCTATTCACTCAGTCCAATGCGAGCGGCACCCTCTGTGATTGACTATCTAGTCCTGCGTACTTCCCCCCCTCGCTTCCAGTTGAGCAAGCGGTCCAGCACGGGTGGATCCGCCCAATCCGTGCGGCGGCAACGCAACAAAAATCAACAGTTCTCCTCTCGACATGGACGCTCTGCCGTCCGCGGCGCCCGATGGGCGGCAAGAGTGGGGCGCGGCGCACACTGCGCGCAGAATCCCACCAGCCCTTTAGGGCGTGGGTTGTTTAGAGAGTTCCCCATTCCAGCCCCCTTCCTCCCCTTTGGGGAGGGGTTTGCCCCTCCCCCTACCCCCGCCCCTTGGGTCTGGAGGGTCTTTAATTGGCCGCGGAGAGAAGCCCAAATCCGTAGTACAAATGTGCTGGCCACATATAGGTCTCCTGGGGCGGAGACCCTGATGTTCAACGGCCCCTCCTTTTAATCGATCTCGTCCACGATGGCCCCCGCGCAGCCCCGAGAGGTGCCCAGGAGATCCCAAGTGGCCCCCAAGAGGCCTCCAGGATGCCCCCAAAAGGCCCCCCAGAGGCTTCCAAGACGCCACAAGAGGCGTCGGCGAGAAGGTCGACATCATTGATTGAACGACGATTTTGGTCACATTTGGATCTCCTGGGGGAGACCTCGAATAAGGAGCCCCCCATCCTTTGATCGATCTCCTCCGGTACTACGGCCCCCCCTTTGATCGATCTCCTCCAATCTGGCCCCAAGATGGCCCCAGAGGCTCCCAAGGGCGCCCCATGACAGCCCCGAACGTTGGCCAGGAGACCCCAAGAGATCCCCAAGAGGCCCCCAAGATGCCCCCAAGAGGCTCCCAAGAGACCCCCGAGAGGCCCCGAAAAGGCTACCCTGAGGTACTTAAGACGCCCCAAGGGACCTCCAAAACACCCCAAGAAGACTCCACGAAGCTTTCGGAAGAAATCCAAAGAGACTCCGAGAGGCATCCAAGAGGCCGCTGGCGTTTCTGTTCGTCCTCCTCCTCTCCCTCGTCCTCTTCCTCCTCCTCCTCCTCCTCCTCCTCCTCCTCCTCCTCCTCCTCCTCCTCCTCCTCCTCCTCCTCCTCCTCCTCCTCCTCCTCCTGCGAGCGCCAAGAGAGGTCGAGACGCCACCACGCACCTACGCCCCCAGAGCTCGACGAGCAGCGGCACGACCCGGTAGCAAACCATCCGCGAACGCAGGGCAGCCAACCCGCCCCGGCGCCAGCTCAGCCCGCCGCCGCGGCGCCTAGCCCAGCGGCCCGGGCAGCGCGGTCACCGCCGAGGGCGGTGCGCAGCTGCCGCGCCGTCGCCCGCTGCAGGGCGACGCTGAGCTCGGCGCCCCAGCGCTGCGCCAGGGCGCTGGCGACCGCAGCGGCCCGGTTTTCGTCCACAAGCTGCGCCTGGTCGCGGGCGAGCTGGCAGAGGTGCTGTAGCGCCGCCCTGCCGTGCCGCCCGCCTGACTCTAAGGCGAGCAGCAGCAGCGGCCAGGGGCAGTTGGCGCCCGCGGGGTAGCGGCGCCGCTTGTCGGCTTCGGCCACCGCGGTAACGGCGCCGTCGTGCCGGGCCGCGGCTTCCAGCGCTTCCGCGTCGCCCGGCACGGCGTAGCGGACCGTCACGTCGATGAAGAGACGTGGGCAGCCCGCATGCTGCACCTCGAGGTCGAGGACAGCTTCCTCGCGGCGCGCGTCCAGCGGCTGGCCGCAAGCGCCGCAGGGCCCCGGCGGCTGGAAGGAGGCGCCGCGCGCGTCGCAGTGGCCGCAGCGCCACTTCCAGCGGTCTCAGGCGGGGACGGGGACCTGTCGGGCCACATGGGAGCCACACTCTCGGTGAATGCGCTCCCACACGGCCTCGATGTCCCCGCTGCGGGCTTTGGGGCCGCCGCCGCAAGAGCACCGGTAGGCGTGGTGTGCCTTGCTGCAGAGCGGCTCCCCGCAGGGCCTCCTCCTCCTCCTCCTCCTCCTCCTCCTCCTCCTCTTCCTCCTTTTCCTTTTCCTCCTCCTCCTCCTCCTCCTTCTCATCATGCGTTTCCTCCTCATCCTCCTCCTCCTCCTTCTCCTCCTCCTCTTCCTCCTCCTCCTCCTCCTCCTCCTCCTCCTCTTCCTCATCCGCCTGTTTTTCCTCCTTCCTCCTCCCTCCTCCCCCTCCCCCTCTCTCTCCTCATCCCCCTCCTCCTGGCGCGTGCCCAGGGGCGCGCACCAGTCCTCACCCATCTGATGTTCCTGCACACCGCGTCGTGCACAGTTTTAAGCACACCTGCCGAAACCTCGGGCGAAATCCCACCAGCCCTTTGGGCGTGAGTGTTTTAGGGAGCTCTCTCTGTTCTCAACCCCCCTTCTTCCCCTTCGGGGAGGGGTTTACCCCTCCCCCTACCCCCTCCCCCTGGACCTGGAGAGGTCCTTCCGCGGGTGGTCAGAGGGGTCTTTTTCGACTCCTGGGAGGGCTAAAAAACGACACCCCTCACGAGGATTCTGGCCCCGACGGGGGGAGGGAGAAAAAATGCTCCCCTCTTTTTTGAAGCCAAACTCATTGATTTTACTACGGTTTTGGCACCATTTTGGCCTTCTGAGGGGGCAGCGCTACTTAAAGCTCCCCTCTTCTTTCAAGCCAGAATCATTGATTTTACTAAGGTGTTGGCCCCATTTTGGCCTTCTGAGGGGGCAGCGCTAATTAAAGCTCCCCTCTTCTTTGATCGATTTCCTCCAAGATGGCCCCAAGAAGCGCCCAGGAGGCACCAAGAGGCCCCAAGATGGCCCCAAGAGGCCCCCAGGAGGCCCCCAAGAGGATCCCAAACGGCCCAAAGAGGCCCCCCCGAGGCACCCAAGACGCCGAAAAGCCCATCAGGACGACCCTCTACTCGCCTGGGCGTCGTTTCTGGACGGGCAGGAGGAGGGGCCCGAACGACTCACACCAGGACGAGGGGCCCGAACAACTCACACCACGAGAAGCCCGAACGACTCACACCAGGACGAAGAGCCCGAACGACTCACACCACGAAGAGCCCGAACGACTCACACCAGGAAGAAGGGCCCGAACGACTCACACCAGGACGAGAAACCCCAAACGACTCAAACCACGAGGAGCGCTTTCTCTCCCTCCTCCTCCGCCTCGTCCTTCTCCCGCTCCCACCACAAGGAGGATGTACAAGGAGGCGGGAGGAAGGAGGAACAGGGGAGATATGCGGGGGCAGGCGGAAACACGCCTGAAAAACACGACTGTCGGCATGCTTCGCTAGAGTTGCTGTTTTGAGATGGGCTGGTGGGGATACGCGAAGCGTGAAGAATGCCCAGAGCGGACCTCGCCTGCGGAAGATGGCCAACATGGAGATAGAGGTGGAACGAGACGACGCAGACGACGAGGGGTGAGGGCGAGGGGGCGAGAAGGCCGAGGCGGGAAACCGGACAGGAGGGCAGCACGCGCTTCGAAATGTCGTTCCCTAAGGCCGAGAATTTGGGAGAAGAGAGGTAGTGAAGGTCGGAGTCAGGTCTCGGGCAGCCCAAGCAGCAAAGACACTCACCGCTCTCATGGAAGCGGGTCCTGGTCGGCCAGCCTCCGCTGAGAGTCTGAATGGTAGCAATGGACCAATGCGAAGGGAGGCCGACAGTGCAATGCCGCACTGAAGACCAATCGATTCTGGCAGTTTCGGGCAGCAACACTGAAACATAAAAGAAGAGGCGATGCGCGAAGGCGAGGTGGGGGGCCGAGGGATACAAGGACGAGAGGAGAGACGCAGACACGTGATGCTGGACTCGGAAGGACTGCTTGGGATCTGCCAGGGCCTGGTGAGCGACTTGGATGGCCACAACACCTGCTTCGCTCAACTTCGGATGGCTTCCGAAACCGGCAGCCGCTTCTTCGAAGACATTGACGAGGGGGGGAGAGGTCCAAAACGAGGGAGAGAGGTCGCTAGCCAAGACTCGAGCCACGGGCAGGTTCCTCGCGGTGGATTATTTCATGTGCGCAAAGGGCGGAGGCCAGCCATCGCAGGCGCGAGCGGCGCTACGAATTAGCGTAGCCAAATTTGCGTCACAACAACTATGATATCTGGGGCCTCCCCAGTCCTGTAAGCGCAGGAGGGTCGCGCGAGCGAGGCTACACTGGGCAACGGCGAACAGGCTGGCCAAAACAGCGTGCTCGTTTCGGTCCAGATGGGGATGGGGGGAGGGAGAACTGGGACGCGTGCCCGAGAGTGGAGACGGAACGCTGATTATAGAGCTTCGCTGTGACCAGGGGTGGCGGGCGGTCATGGGCGACGGCGGCCGAGCGAGAGAAATATGCTCCGAGAAACTCGTTCCATATCATATCGGCAACAGACGGCCCTAGGAGAATGCCTAGGTATACTGAACTCGATAGTAGATTGAAATCGTTCCAGCCTGGCAGCTCCGCGCTGAGCCATTCTCGCGCGCGGGCCTGCAGCGCGGGCGTGAAATGGCCGCAAAGAGGCACCGCGAAGCACTTTGCAATCTGTAGTTGCAAACAAGCCAAGCGCTCGGCGGCCGCAACAATTTTGAAGAGAGGCTT